GATGCGGGACTCGATCCCAGGACCCTGGGATCATGACCTGAGCCGAAGGCAGACGCTTAACAACTGAGCCACCCAGGCGCCCTTTAGCCAGGTTCCTTGCTACAGTAAATAAATTCATTATTCTGTTGCTGATGAGGTGTGGAAGGATGGATATCGGGTAACAACTGAAACTTCTGCCACAACCTTTTAGGAGTTTAAAAAAGTATAGGCTTTAAGATCTAAGAAAAGTATTAAGAAAATTCTATAAAGAGACCGTTTATAAAATCAGTCTGTAAAAGTAGTTAACATAGCTACATATAAAAACAACAGCTGCTTAGAAAATAGAAAGCTCACTAAGAGGAAAGACATACAGAGATGTGACGGATGTAACAGCATCAGGATATGTTTGGACATTTTACAAAATGATAAACTTACTTGGAGAAATATGAGCATCGACAGGAAGTATTTGAAAAAGACAGAGCAAGAACTTCCTCTCACATAGTAAAGATCTGAGGAAAGCCACGGTGGGCCGAAGCTGTGGTCCCAGGGCAGGAACGGGGCCGTGGAACTGAAGGGAGTCTAGAGGCTGAGCCCGACTCAGGGCATCACCGTGGTGCGGGCGGCGTTTGCATCCGTGGGGGAGGGAAGCGCAGGCGTGGATACGGCTCGCCGGCCACCTGGAGGAAATGAAGCTAGAACAACTTCGTCCAGATGGAAGGGAGCCAAGAGGACTGACTTCTCTTGTGGGTCTGGTTCTGGCCCAGCCGTGGGACCCTCTGGACGGTCAGCCCTGCGGATATGGCCCCGACCTGTATCCTGGTGAGCGCCACGGGGCTGCACCAGGGAGGGTCCCTCTCTCTTGCGATCAGTGTGCCGTCTTTGCTGCTTCTCCCAGCCTTTCCGTGGTGGACCCTCTGTTCCCACTCTCCTTGCCAAGCCCAGGTCCCCCGCCAGCTCACCGCTAGAATTACGGAGCTTTCGTGAGCGTCTCTCTCCTGAAATCTCTCCCTCTGAAGATTCGTGTCGCGCTTCTGTCAGGGGCCGCTCTCCGTTTGGCGTGCCCACCGTGCCCCCAGGCCCCTTTCTTGGGCAGCGTCCCGTCCTCTCACCAGACCCCAGGGCCGCTCCAGCCGCCCTAGCTTTCGCGTTGGTCACGTGCGCTGCAGCCACTTCACGCGCCTGCCCTCTCTCATTTCAGATTGTGAGATGGGGACTGAGCGCGCGGAGGCAATCCCCAAGGAAGAAGTTTCAGAAGAAGCCGAGCCGCGCGTGGCAGCGTCAGAGAAACTTCCCAAGGTGGTTTGCCAGGGCCGGGAGTTTGGAGGCGCCCGGGCAGAAGACGTGGTGGAGAGGCACTCGAGAGCGTCCTCGGACGAGAGCGCGCAGCAGGCGTCTCCTCGGGGGAGAGGCCTGGCGTCGGGGCTGATCGCCTATAAGAGGTCACCGTCGGGCGAGAAGTCCGGGGACAGCGACGAGAGCGAGTGCGTCTGCAGCCCCGGCCCGCACCCACTCACGTCTCCGGCCGAGCCCCCAGCCGCGCCCGTCCGCGCCTGCGCCGCCTCCCGCCACAACCCCGTGGAGAACTCAGAGTCTCACAAGGCCCGGAGAAGTCCTGTGGGAGAAAAGCCTCATACGTGCACAGAGTGCGGGAAGGCCTTTAATCAGAACTCGCACCTCATCCAGCATCTGCGGGTCCACAGCGGAGAGAAGCCCTTCGAGTGCAAAGAGTGCGGGAAGACGTTTGGGACCAACTCCAGCCTGCGGAGGCACCTGAGGATCCACGCCGGGGAGAAGCCCTTCGCCTGCCGCGAGTGCGGCAAGGCCTTCATCCAGAGCTCACACCTCATCCACCATCACAGGATCCACACCGGGGAGCGGCCATACAAGTGTGAGGAATGTGGCAAGGCCTTCAGCCAGAACTCGGCGCTCATTCTGCACCAGAGGATCCACACCGGGGAGAAGCCGTATGAGTGCAACGAGTGCGGGAAGACCTTCCGGGTGAGCTCTCAGCTCATCCAGCACCAGCGCATCCACACGGAGGAGCGGTACCACGAATGCCTCGAGTGCGGCAAAGCCTTCAAGCACAGCTCGGGCCTCATCCGGCACCAGAAAATCCACACCGGAGAGAAGCCCTACCTGTGTAACGAGTGCGGGAAGGGCTTCGGCCAGAGCTCGGAGCTGATCCGCCACCAGAGAATCCACACGGGGGACAAGCCCTACGAGTGCAACGAGTGTGGGAAGACGTTCGGCCAGAACTCGGAGATCATCAGACACATTCGGATCCACACCGGCGAGAAGCCCTACGTGTGCAAGGAGTGTGGGAAGGCCTTCCGGGGGAACTCGGAGCTTCTGAGGCATGAGAGGATCCACACCGGCGAGAAGCCCTACGAGTGCTTTGAGTGTGGGAAGGCCTTCAGGCGGACCTCCCACCTCACGGTCCACCAGAGGATCCACACGGGGGAGAAGCCTCACCAGTGCAGCGAATGTGCAAGAACCTTCTGGGACAGCTCGGAGCTGCTTCTCCACCAGAAGATTCACGTCGGGGAGAAGCCGTATGAGTGCACCGAGTGCGAGAAAGCCTTCGGCCAGCATTCCCAGCTTGTCCTCCACCAGAGGACGCACACGGGCGAGAAGCCCTACGAGTGCCAGGAGTGCCGGAAGACCTTCAGCAGGAGCTCCCACCTCCTCCGGCACCAGAGCGTCCACTGCGCGGAGTGATCGCCCTGGACGACGCGCCCCAGCCCGACCGGCCGCGCCCAGGCCTGCGGACCCCACGAGGGGACACAAGTCCTCCTCCCGCCGACTTCCAGCGCAGCGGCCAAAAACGAGGAGGTGCTTTTGTGAACGGTTCACGGAGAAGTTTCGGGATCCCGAGTTAAATCGTAAAAGCTGTTTCAGGCCTTCGTGTTTCCTCTGTCCCCTTTCGCACTCCCTCCGCGCTCCCCGAGCGGATCCCCTCACTTCCGGGGTCTCTACCAGCCACGTAGCCCAGATCGTTAGTTCTCGGGAACCGTGGAGACACGTGGCCCGCCACCTCCCAAGGGTGGCAGCGCTGACTCGTGGAAGGTTAGGAGGTCGTGGCGGAGGACACACTCCGTCTTCCCGGCCGCGGTGTCGCACCAGGACCCTTGATCGAGCTTCTCTTAGCGTCGACATCTTGCAGACGTGCTATCGGGGTTCCTTAGACGATTGCTGAAGCCGGGAAGCTTGGGGACCCCCTCCCGCGAGGCCTCCTCGTCCCCCCGCAGAGGGTGCAGGACGGAGGAGACGACAGGCCGCTTCCAGGATGGCGAGCGAGGCCCTGAGCGTCCCAAGGGGCTGGTGGGCCAGGCGGGGGGCTTGCAGAGAGCAGCCCGGGCAGCTGTGCCCCGCGGGGGCGCTGCGCGGACGGACGGACGGACGGACGCCCTGCTGGGTCGTGCGTCAGCAGGTAGCAGAGGGACTGTGTGGCCTCACCGCCAGCAGGCGCCTGGGCCCTCGCTGGGCCTCGCCCCGCAGCCCAGAGCCCTCTGCCGTGGTACCTGCTGTCGCTCACCCACAGCCCGGCAGCCCCCTCGCCTCCTCCCCCGAGCGCTGTGTGTTCTCCTCGGGCGTCCACGCGTCCGCGTGTCTGGGGCACCGGGAGGCGGCCGGCCCCAGCAGGCTGGCGCTGCTCCTCGCGCGCGGCCCTGAGAGGAGGGGGTTGAACTCCGTGAGCTCCAGGGTCCGACCAGCCCCGCGGTTGTGGACTTCTTAGATCTAACGTGACATGTGCTCGATGCTCTGTTGTTTAATCTCTTCTTTGTGACGCGATTACTGACCCCTAGAGTTCCCGAGTGTTTGCTATACCAGGCCCAGCACCAGACCCTCTCCGTGCTTATTTTCACCGTGTCTCTGATGTGGGGCCCCTGTAAGCGGCTGGAGTGGGGACCACGTGCGTACCATAAAATCCACCTGTTCTCCGTGTTCGTTGAATGATCTTTAATTCACAGAGTTGTGCATCGGCCGACCGGGTGGGTGTGGGTGTCCCTGCGCCGATGTCGAAGACCAGGAGCGGGGGGGGACGTTCGGGGGCTTGTCCGAGCTCCTGGGCCCCGTGCTGTGCCGTGGACAGGCGGGCTCGCGGCTGCCGTGTGTGAAACCCTGTGCACGTTGGTGTTTTTACTACGTGGATTTGAATGTCATGGATTTAAATTGTGTCCTTGGAAACCACCACTCACAGCCAAAACCCATCACGTGGGTTTACTCTGAGCCCCAGTGTGCTCCCCCAGCTCAGACCCTTCCTTGAGAAAAGGCTGTACAAGAGAACAGGACGCCGCACGGCCCCCCACCCTCCGTCCTTCCTCTGGTGTCTGGCGGTCAGGCCCCGAGCGGGAGGGATTCTCCAACTTCCCCCGTCCTTACGGGGATGACAGGTGCAGCGTGCTCTCTTACTCACTGCTCAGGTTCAAGCCGAAAAATGCTCCCCGACCGTGTCTCTGTCCTGTGAAGCCAGATAGCACCCGTCCCTCCAACCCCTGGTCCTGTGTTCACGTGTTTGATGTCCACACTCACCCCTGGCCCCGACAGAGACTCGGCCCCTGTTTAAGCTCACGCCCAAGAGTCCGCTCCCACAGACGCACCCAGGTGCTTCTCCCAGGGGAGGAGGGCGTGCACATTGTACGTCCTCCCACGTCCCTTGTTGGCCAAACCACGGCTGGTTTAGCTCTCTCTCCCTGCTCCCCCCACCTCAGGTTCAGCCACCTCAGCAAGGCCCAGCCCCTCCCCATCGGCCCCACCCGGGCTGTGGCCACTGCGCGGAAGGAGAAAAGGCCCTCCCTCAGCAGCCCACTCCCTGGAACACGGGAAGGCAACAGTGACCCACTTCGGTTGTTGTACTTGAGCATATGCGTAAAGAGGGGAGGTCTCCTCTCGGCCCAAGAAGAGTCCGTGTTTCCCAGGAGGAATTCTGGTGAACGAGTCTCTCCACCTTGATGCACACGCTATGCACACAGCCCGTAACTTCGCTCCCTGCCCACGTCCGCCTCGCACCACTCATCTCAGGGAGACTCGGACCTTCCCTTCTGTCGGCCTCCCGTCCTCTCCGCCGACTTGGGACTCGAAATCTGCCCCGTTATTGTGAGTGGTAGCCATACGTTCATGCCAGTAGGAGTCCACCGAGGAAAAGAAGCACGAATTTTCTTTTTTTTTTTTTTTTAAGATTTTATTTATTTGACAGAGCACAAGCAGAGGGAGAGAGAGGGAGAAGCAGGCTCCCTGCTGAGCAAGGAGCCCGATGTGGGACTTGATCCCAGGACCCTGGGATCATGAACCGGGCCGAAGGCAGCTGCTTAACCGACTGAGCCACCCACGCATCCCAGAAGCCCGAATTTTCTTAGGGTTGGAGCTTTGAAAACCAGGCCTCACAATCTCAAAGACCTCCCTAAATGCCCAGAAATAACCCTTGAGGATTTTTAGCTCCGTTGGTATACATTCTCATCCTTTCCGTTTTACTGGTGTCCTGACACGGGTAAATTGTGTGTCCTTACAGTTTTACTCACTTGACGCCAAATACGTTGTTCCACGGTGTCTTCATGTGACCCTCCTAGGCCAGTGTCATCCCCGTCCCTGAGGGGCACCCTCCCCCCAGGGCCACAGCCACCTGCTCTGTGCTCCTGCTTTTGCAGAAACTTCACTCTGTCCTCCGCCCTCTGCTTGGCTTGGTGAGATCCTTTATCGTTCACAACGGGGCCCGTGTTACCGATTCCGTTCATTGGTCATAAATGATCTCTATACACACATCCATGTTTTTCATGATTAACAAGGTAATGTTCCGGATCATCTGGGTGGTCCAACTTTTTTTTTAAAAGCCTTACTACTGAGATTTCAGGGCCAGTTTTTGCAGTTGTTACTACTGTCAGACTCATTACATGTTCTTCTAGGTGACTCCTGATCTAAGGCGGGTCCCTGAGCTTGCGAGGTCAGGGGTCTTGAGACTCTGGAAGGCTCTGCCCAGAAGAATGTGCACGGGACCCCAGGGGACTCACGGGCCACCTGAAACCCATCCTTGGACCTCTGTAGTCCTTTACCTTGCCCCTGAAAGCCAGCTTTGACCTTTGAAAAACATTAACCCAGAAAGCCGCAATCACTACTCCCTCATCCGGGGCCTCAGCTTTGGGGATGAAACTGTCCAAAGGACCTGCCTCGGGGCGCCCCTGACGGTGGAGGGAGCCGGAGCCCCAGTTGCCCAGCACTTGCTGAGTGCCCCCAAACCTGTTAGCACCTGTGTACCGACCCTGGGGGCCCCCCGAACAGAGGGGGTGGGTCTAAGCGCTAGGAGACTGCTAGGAGACTGCTGAGCAGTCCAGTGGCGGGCGGTGCCCCCAAAAGGCGCCCGGAGCTCCGAGAGGGGAGGAGGGCTGGGGGCGGCCGGTGGGCAGGTGAAGACCCTCCATGAGCCTCAGGCCCCTCCCGCACCCTCGTCTCCAGCCTCCCCTGTGGTGTGGACAGAACGCTCATGTGTCCTTGTTTGTAACACGCTTTGCAGGCCGTGTGGACCAGACTCGCCCCCGGCACCCGGCACGTCTCCAGAGCCACCTTCTGCGCCCGGCCGCCACCTTGCCTCTGGGACCATGAGGTAGGAGCCCCACCGAGTGCGGCCCCGGCCCGTGGGGTCCCGGGGAGCAGTGGGGTCGGGGTGCTGGGCACACAGCCAACTCCCACCCGGAGGCTCGGCTGTCCGTTTTCCGCATCCTGGGGTGGGCTTCATTCAGCAGCCCTGCAGATGCTCCCGGCTGCCATCCAGGCCCCTTCACACAGTGTTTAATAACGAACTTGGATTTTGTCTCGCGTGTGGTGGGAACGGATAGACTCAGGTGGGGAAGGCAGGGCTGGCTTTAGGAAGAAGGCCCTGTGGTCCGAGGCTGTGGGCGGGAAGGCCGGTGTGGACGTGTGACGGCCGGCATGGGGATTGACCGTGTGGGGCCTTCCGCATAGAGGGAGGTTGGTTATGCGTCGGATGGGTAAGGTCTGGGCCGGCTCCTGGGCAGATGACCCCAGAGATCACCAAGGAGGGAGCAGAGTGCGTCTGCACCCTTGATCTGCTGCTTGTGGGGCGCTCTTCAAACTGGACTGCGGGGGGCACAGGAAGGGGGCCTATAATCCACATTCCAGTCCCAAGTCGGGAGTCCCCGGGCTGCAGTGGGTGTGAGGAAGACCTGGGAGGTCTTGAGTGGAGCTTGGAGGTGCTGCGCGTGGGAGACGGTCACATGGGGGGAGGCCCTAGACACTTCGCACTGGGGAGGCCCTCTGAATACCAGTGTGGAGGAACCTCTGGTCTTGACACCTTCCGCATCACGGAGCGTCCACCGTGCGCGGCCATCCGGAGCTGGACCGACTGCAGGACCCTTGTTCTGACCTAAAGCCTTTTCTCTCCTCCCCCTCCCTGGGTTCAGTGGACCGCACACGCCCTCTGTGGCAGCTCTGGGTCTTGCCCTGGCTGATGGGCTGCAGAACGAAGGGTATCAGGCCAGGGCTGCCACCCCGAAGTGAAGAAATGAGTGGTCCCCACAAACAAGAGGCCACGGAGGGTGAGCCCCAGGAGCTGAGGGGAGCGTCGTGATACCTTGCTGCCCTTCATCTCTCTGTGCAGACCCTCTGTCCCCCCAAAGGATGCTGGTGGCGTGAGAGTTTTGTCCCCCGTGGCGTCCCTTCATGTGACGGGGGACAGGGAGGAGGCTTTCTGTGGCTGCGGCAGCTGACCCATGACGCATTTACGCGAGTACGAGCGGCCCCGGGTGCCCGGACACCTGCCACTTTCAGCACCAGGAGAGAGAACAGAGCAGATCTCACCTGGGCCACCCTCAGAGTCTCTCTCTCATCACAGCCTTTGCCGCTTTATCGCTTTCCTTCCTGTTTTCACACGTTACTTCCGTCTTCCTGGACACGCTGTTGCTGCATGGGAGCCGGCGTCCGACGTGTCTGCTGGGACTCCGTGCTCTCGTGGTGCGCCTTCCTCGGCCTCACGGGCTTGTGCTCTCATCTGCTCAGGATTACCCTCAACACTGGCCCTGGGCGGCTTGTGCTTACCTAGTCTGTACCGCGAGACGAACCATGTGTGTCCTCCAGGCTCGGGATGGGCTCCCACCCCTGCTCCTTCCCTCTTGTTCGCACCACGTTGGCTCGGGCGCTGCAGGAAATGCAAATGAGTTGAGGGAGAAGGAGCCGTTTGTCCTCACAGTGGACCGACAGCCAGGGCGGCCAGTCTGTGCTGACCCCCAGGCGCCCGCGGCCTCTTTGTAATTCAGCGTGGACGGGATTACCTCGGTCTGTCCTGGGGTTCCCGTGTCCTCGTCCGGGAAGTGGGGACAGCGTCTGCAGATGAACCACGCACCTGAGAGCCCGTCACCTGGTATGTAGTAGGCGCCCCGTAATGCAGTGTCGTTCTCTCCTTTACCCGTGGTCCGTCTTCTGATTTGCCCCAGGTTAGGGGTGCCTTCTCCCCGGCGCTTGAGCTCGAGGAGAGTGCAGGTCGCGCCTTCGCCCTGCACCGGTCGTTAACGCACATTATTGCATCTACGTGAGCTGCCGAGCAGCCCTGTGAGCGGACGTGGGCTCCCATTCCCACACCGGGTCTTTGCCAAGTCTCCCCAGTGCGTTTACCGGGAAGTGGCGAAGGTGATGTGTTCGGAGGTCACGGAAGGCTCTCCTCGCACACATTCCCCCGTGAGGGTACTCAGTCCTCAGACTCCCCAATAAGCTAGCACTTCCTTCCACTTACCAGTTTTAGTCCTCGTTTCTGAGATGAAATTCCACAGCACAGCCGATTATGGGTACTCATGACCGCTTTCAGCCGGTCTGATTTTGATAGTGTGTTGCTGTATGTTTCTTCCATACAGACCCGGTGTTTGTCCACACTCCTTCCACCCGTGGGTTGATACTTTCCATCGGATTTGGAAACCGTCAGCGCCGATTGCTTCAAGTGTTTTTCTGCTTTCCTCCTCTTTCCCCTGGGACTCTAACCACACGTATCCTCCAGTGATTGACGGTGTCCCACGGCTCGCTGATGCCCTGTTCATCTTTTTTGTTTGTTTTCTTTTCTTTTTTTTAGGTATTTTGGTAGTTTCTATCCCCATTTTTCATCTCAGACATTGTAATTTTAATTCTAGAATTCAGTTTATGTCTTTTTTTAAAAAGATTTTTATCTATTTATTTGAGAGAGAGAACACGAGCAGGGGGGAGGGGCAGAGGCAGAGGGAGAAGCAGACTTCCCGTGGAGCAGGGAGCCCGATGTGGGGCTCGATCCCAGGACCCTGAGATCGTGACCTGGGCCGAAGGCAGACGCTTAATGACTGAGCCACCCAGGCAGCCCTGCCTTGAAGTTTTGGCAGCATCCTAGACATTGTAAATTTTATGTTGTTGTTGTTGTTGTTTTTTTAATTCCTTTCAATATTTTTGAGCTTTGAACTGGGATGCCAGTAAGGTACTTGGAAACAGTTTGGTTCTCCTGAGGCTCCGTTTCCCACTTGGTTGGTGGGACTGAGCAGCCTTGAGGCCCAGGTCCCTGCAGTAAGACCCTTGTGCGGCTCTGCGGGGTGCGTGCCCACGGCAAGGGTTCTCCGCTCCAGCCATTCCCAGACCTGTGCCTCCCACGGGTTCTGTCCCTGGCTCCGGGTGGGGGACATGGCGCCAGCATGTGTGTGTGAGGCCCGGGGTCAGCTGGCTCTCTCCTCTGCGACGCTCAGCTCCGTCCCTTCAGCCGGGCCCATCCTGGCTCTTACCTCACCTGTCCCTCTTCCCTCGGGGCACCCTGCCCGGCACCCCTGTCGTCCACTGTTCTGTCTGGCTTCTTAGTTGGCTGGGACGGGGGGGATGGTAAATCCAGTCCTCCTGACTCCTTCACGGCCAGAAGCGTTAGTCCTGTCTGTGTACAGAGATGTGCTCGTCTGCTCTATAAGGCGTTTGTTTATGCCGATTTTGTGGGTGAGGGAGCTGTTTTCACGTTTGAAAGAAAGGCCATCATTTCTTATTGTTCTGTTCTGCAGTCGGGACAGAATGAACTAATTCTGTGTTGCTCCCCAGGCGGCGGCGGCAGGCGGGTCTCAGGGACCAAGTCCCCACCCGTCTGCGGAGTCTGGCTCCCCCTGCCCCACACTTCAAGTCAGGAATGCGAAAAGCCCCTCTTCCTCCTCCTCCTCCTCCTCGCAGTTTTGTTGAGCAAACAAGGAGCTGTGTGGGCACAGGGTTGGAAGTCATACTTAGGTTCAGATCTTGGCTCTGCCTCGGATGCATCACGTGACCTTGGACAAACTAGTGAACCTCTTCGTCTCTTCATCCGTAACATAGCAATATAAAGCAAGCCTGTTTCTTTTCTTTTTTTAAGATTTGTTTACTTTAGAGAGAGAGAGCGTGCACGCGGTGGGAGGGACAGAGCGAGAAGGAGAATCTCCAGCGGACTGCCCACTGGGCACGGAGCCTGACCTGGGGCTCGATCTCACGACCCTGAGATCACGACCTCAGCCGAAATCAAGAGTCGGCCGCTCCACCGACCGAGCCCCCAGGCGCCCCTATAAAGCCTATTTCTTAAGGTTAGACGTGACTGTGGAAAACTGCTTCATTACTTTGCAGGTGACCAGCGGAGGCAAACGAGGCTCCCGGGCTGATGGAGTCCCTCAGCCCCAGGCCCGCTGCTGCAGCCCAGGAGCTCCTGGGCTCTCCTCCGTTCTCTCCTCCTGCCCCGTCCTATCCTTCCCGTCTGCCCCCTCTCCCCATCCCCAGGCTGCTAGCGCAGTGTGGGCCCCCCCACTGCCCCTGCCAACATCTCTTTACTCTGCTTATTTGACGCCTGGTTTTCTTAGGTTGCAGTCCTGGGGGAACAGACCTCTAGATGGAGTGTTGGGGGCTGCCTGTTGGGGGGCGCCCTGGGGAACATCTGGGTGAGAGAACAGGGGCCGCGGGACGGGGCAGGGGAGGAGCTACGCCAGAAGCCTGCATCAGCCCAGGGGACGTGCAGGGAGACCTTGGTGGCCGGGCCTGTGAACACACCTCCCTTTCCTCCCTGCCTCTCTGCTGACCACGAGGCGGGGTGCTCCATCCCACGCAGCCAGTCTGCCTCCGCGGGAGGGAAGGGGCTGCCCTTCTCTGTTGGCAGCGGGCAGGTAGGATGGGGAGGGGCTCCTGCTTCATCCATTGCCCCCCCCATCTGCGAGCCCCCAGCACAAGCTTCCTCCGCATCCAGGCAGGGCTGTGCTGCTCCTTGTCTCTCCCTACTTCTCCCTGTGGAGCCAAGGAGAGCGAGGCCGGGGAAGAGCGCTCACTGGGGGCTGTAAGCTTGTGAATGAAGCTGTTCTAACTGCAGTTATTCCCCGACCTTGGTCTCGTTATGTTAAAAGAGGGTCTGGGGCGCCTGGATGGCTCAGTCATTAAGCGTCTGCCTTCGGCTCGGGTTATGATCCCGGGGTCCTGGGATCGAGTCTCGCGTTGGGCTCCCTGCTCCGTGGGCAGCCTGCTTCTCCTTCTCCCTCTGCCCTTTCCCCTGCTCGCGCTCGCGCTCATTTTCTCTCTAATAAATAACATCTTAAAAAAAAAAAAAAGAGGGTCCAGGGACTGACGGAAGCTCGCATCACTCCTTTCCCTTCCTGTGGGCACACAGGTCCCTCCCTGGCATGTGCACCTCGCGCTTTGCCGAGGACGGGCGGGCTCGTCCCAGGGGTGCGGTGTTGGGTAGAGGACAGCCTTCTGTGCGCATTTCTCACCGGCCCCAGCAGACGTGCCCTCCACGTCCCTGCCGTGTGTTTGGTTGCTGAGACCAGGGAGTCCATTTCTTTGTCTCCTGCTGGGGACAGAGGACCCCCCTCCCCGTTAGCACAAGTTCTCTTTATTCAGCTGTCTGGCTGGGGACCCCCTGCTAGCAGCTGCAAATGCGCACCCGGACACGGTCCCCTCCACACACAAACAGGGCAGACGCCGATCACACGAGCGCGGCACCACTGACCCCCAGGAACCCCCGGGTGCAAGGAACTGTTCCTCTAACACAGTCAGACTGCACACACACAGCCTCCGTTCCTTTGTACCGACACGTCAAAAGAGACCTTCTCCGGTCAATATTTTGCTTACAAAGGATGTCTCTGGTTTCACTCTTCTCAGAGTCCCGTTCCGCAGCTGGAATGACGGCTGATTCTGGAGTGGCCCCCGAGGCCAGCCCTCATCCACACCCTTGGGCTCTGGTCCTCGTCCTCTGCTGCCCGGTCCCCCTGCGCCCTCTCGAGCCCAGACTCCCCTCCCCCGGTCAGTCGGCAGGGGTGGGGCACGTCCCCTGGGGGGGGGGAGTGCTGCTCTTGCCACATTCTCTCCTCCACAGTGAGACTTTTAACTGGGCAAGTGGCCGTCCTGCGAGAGGTTTGCTTCCAGCCTCCCTGGAAGACCGACGTGGCCGTGTAGTTCAGTTTCCACGAAGGAGGGGGGCGCCCTCCCTGACACTTGCCGAGAAGGAACCCGGTTGTCCCTGGGACTGCCGCTCTGCCTTCCCCGTGAGCCGCAACAGACCCCATACTTCAACCACGCAGAATAACAGTCTAGCCGGGGGGTGGGGGGCTGCGCAAGAGCAAGGGGGAGCACGCGGGGTCCTGCGGCGGCGGGCCGGACGACACTGAGCTGCCCCTTAGGCCAGGCCTTGGGGCGCTTCTGTAAAGGGCCGGATAGCAAATAAACAGTTTAGCTTGTGGGCCACATACAATCCCTGTCACTCTTTCTTTCTGCTTTTTGGAACAGAGACAACATAAAGCCCTTTCTCAGCTTGTGGGCTTCAAAAAACAGGCCACGAGCTGGATGCGCATTGAGCCTGTAGGCTGTTGTGCGCGGACCACCCCTGCACCTCTGGACATGTATGATCGGCACAGGCGCTGTGACCTCCGGTCTCCCACCGGGGCCGATTCGCCCTTCTGTAGGTGGCCTGCCGGTTCCCCGCTCCCGGGACACCTGATTGCCACAGCACAGTGCAGCCCAGGACGCCCGGGCTCACGCGGGCCTCCGGCCTCAGGCTCCCGAGCAGCGGGGACCGCAGGTGTGCAGGCCATCGCGCCCGCCCGGCTACCTCTGGACATTTACGGGAGCGGGGATAACACGGTATCGTGGAGGGAGGGAAGGCTTCTCCAAAGAGAGGACACTGAAGCAGAGATCTGAGGCAGGGGTGATACGTGTTCCGATCCGGGCGGACAGCATGGAGGAAGGGAGGGCCCGAGGGGCCCGAGGTGGGAGTGAGGTCGGCACCCGGGCCGGGTAGCAGTGTGTGGCCTCCTGACCCCCGGTCTCCTGGGCTGCGCCCTGCTGTATACGACCGCCTGTATACGTTTCCACTTTGCTAGTGGGCACAGCTTGGCCAGTAAAGGGCGCTCCTTCTGGTTCCTGTCGTTTTTCCTTCCCCTCCTCACGGGTAGCACCTCGGTGAACTTCACCGTCCACTGGGCCGGAACTCGTGCTGGTAAATACTTAAGAACCAGTTCAGAGAGAAGAGAGCCCCCGTTTGTGCTGCTCAGTGACCTCCCTGCAGCGAATCCTCCCACCACCAAGTGAAGTACGGCTGGGGAAGGGAGTGCAAACCTGGTTCCTGCGAGTCTGTCCACGCCAGCTGTGGCTCACGGCTGGAAGCTCCACCGTTGTCCAGGGAGGTCTGATTTCAGTCTCGGTTGGGATGGGGAGGCTCTGCTACTTCCTTGGGCACTGTCCCTCTCCCAGAGGTGGCACCTGTCCCCACTCTGCCCTTCCTCTATTCTCCGAGATCTCGCTCCCCTGGCTCACACTTCTGCATATCACCCTTTCCCGTCCAGGTGACTCATGCGATTTGTCTCGTGCCTGGCCCTTTGTGGCTGTGGCCTTGTCCGTGGAAGCAGACCAGCACGGGGTGGAGACAGGGCCGGGAGCAGAGACCACTCACGGTGCTTTTATGGGAATGAGCACGGCCCAGTGGCTGCGCGTCATGCCCCGCCCGGGGCTCCAGCGAGTAGGCATTTGAATCCCAGGGCAGAGTGATGGTCTGCAGGTGGCACTAGGTAAACGGTCTTTCCTAAATCAAGGAAGCCACAGGAAAGGCCTCCAGGAACTTACACCTTTTATGGAATCTAGTCCCAGAACTCACGAGACAGACGTA